CTCTCCTGTTTCAACAAAAGCGCTCTCAGTGTCAGGCTGAATTTACTCCTCCCACCTCAAGGTACTTACGACTTTACAGAGAGGAAGGACACCCGCATCGGGATAAAACTGCTAAATCCTGGGAGGAAGAGAAGGGGGGGGAGAAAAAGAGGAGACGGTGGATCTCGTGGGTCCGGATTGCCAAAGATCAGTGGAGAGAGAAGGGTGCAGGGGAGAGGGAAGGAGGGGACAGCACCCCGGGGCGGCCCCTGTGACAGGGGACAGCGGCCACCCCCGGGTCCCCCCCCGCCGCCGCCGGGAGCCGCCGCCTCGCACAAGGGGCCACAACGAGCGACGGGCATGGCCTGGCGTGGAAAGAAAAAAAATAAATGGGGGACAAAAAAAAAGGCGTGAAAACAAACAAAAAAAAAGCCCTATATTTGGGGCGAATTGGGCGGTTTTTTGGACGCACTGCAAGCCCAGTCTCTCCGGGAGGAAATCCCAGACGGGCCCGGACACGGGGTTGTTTTTCTCCCAATGGGCCCGCACGAAGCGGCGGCGTTTCTCCCTCGTCCGGCTGGAAAATTTAATTCCTAAAGGGGCAAATTAAATTCCTCAAGGGGCCCGTTAGCAGGCGCGCTCCCGGCCGAGGAGCCGCGACAGCCGGGGCCGGGCCGGCGGAGGGGTGAGCCCGCTCCCTGCCGCCAAGCAACAGGAAGGCGAGGCCGGTTTCATCCCCCACCGCCAAACAAATCACGAAAAAATAAGGTTTACCCCTTCGTACAAAAAGAAAGAAAGAAAAAAAAAATAATTCCGATGGCGTCTCCTCCCGCTTTCGTTAAAAACGAAATACACAAACGCGCAAAGATATCTGCAGTGTTTTGCCTTAAATTGGGGTGGTTTCGTTTGGAGAAATGCAGGTGGGGGGGCAATAATTCCCCGCCTGCTCGCTTCTGCTCCGCAAAATCCTTTTGTTTTCCAGCAGCCGATCGACAGGAAATTTCCAGCCCAAAAGCACACCTCTCCCGCCGGCCGTTTGTAGGGAAATCGCCCCAAAACGAAGGGGCGGGAGGGAGCGGGATATGAGGGGACCCCACTCCCGAGAAGAAGCGGTCAGACTCTGGCCGTCGGCCATGCCGTGTCCTGGGGTTTTTCCTCTGGGAGAATCTGGGGGACCCGGGCCCGGTGGGCTCTTCGCACCCACGGCTGGTCCTCTGGGTTCCCGGCGCGGTGGGGTAGTCGCACCCCACAGTTTCAAAGGGGAAAGCGCATTCTCCTCCTCACCCACCCACCCCGCATCAAAGAATAAATAAATAATAAAAAAAAGATTAAAACCCAACCGCGGAAAAGGTTTTGTGTTTTTTTTCCCTGCTCGCCTGCCTCTCACATGGGGTAGAAGCCCCCCCAAAGCCCCCTCGCTGCCCGCCGGAGTCCCCCAAAACCCCATCGCGCCACCCAGCTCGCTGCAGGGCCGATTCCTCTTTACTCACCATTTGCTTTTCATTGGGAAAAGTGAGTGGAGCCATTTTGTGGCCTACGCATCGCGGCTATATTTGTAGTAAGTGTTGGGTGGCTTCAGCTGGGTAGGCTCTAATTCCACATCACGTCCAGTTTCCTATTTAGTATGGAGAGCGGAACACTACTGCAATGTGGCCGAGAGAGATAAAACCCCAGCAGTGGCCCGCCTGCCCTGATAAGCTTCTAAACCCATTATTTATGAAATGATTCATTATTATTTGGCAATTTTATCGAAGGAAAGCGGAAAATTATTGCAGGGATATGCATAGGAATAACTCCGGAATGCATGCCTTCTAGCTTTTTATGTGTGTGTGCTTAGATGCTCTTAAAAAGACACTGCAAAAAAAAAAAAAAAAAAAAAAAGTAATAAAAAATTGCACTGTGGCTGCCTGCATCTGAATAGCGATTCTTTATTTTAGTCCTCTTGGAGGTTATTACGCCCCTGTTTTCACCCCCCTCCTTTTTTTTTTTTTTATTATTATTATTAATAAACATGGAACACCTACTCCGTTCTTAATTAAATTTAATGAGCCAAAATAAATTGTTGAAGGCGCTGAGAGAGGGGGAAGGGGTGTGTGCTGCTTTGGGACAAGAGGAGGTAAATAAAGCACATCTAGGGGAGATGTTTTGGAGAGAAGTGGCCCCATCCCCAACCTTCCTCCCCCCGTACTGTGTGTTTTTGCTAAAGGGTTGAACTGGGACAAGCTCCCCGTCTCTCCCATGCTGGAGCGGGGGTGAGTCCGAGCATCCTTGCTAGGCTGGGGGATGCTGGGGACTGGGAGCAGAGCACCAGCCGGCACCGCTCGCTCTCAAGAAATTTGGGATGTGAGCGGAGGAGGGAAGGGGAGAAAGGGCCCTGGGTCTCACTGTAGCAATGCGGGGCAGCCAGCGGGGCTCGGGTCCGGCTGCGAGCCCCATCGAAGAAGGTGCTCGGCCTCTGCCGCGAGGGTCTCCGAGCTGGGGTGGACGGGGACCCCCGGGCCTTCCCAAAGCCGCCGTGCAGCCGGATCGGCCGGCGGGGACGGGAGGCGGGCGGTGCGGGGGTCGCCGTGCCCTGTGCGGGGGTCGCAAGGCAGCGGGACCCTTCTCGAAATGCCAGAGGCTCCCGGCATGGAAAGGGGGATGAGGGGGACCACTGTAGGGTCCCAGACCGCTCCCTCCGGACGCCCACGGGTAAAGCGGTCCTAAAGGCTCCTAAAGGGAGAGGTTTCCGACAGCTCGGGGATCGGCCTTGGGGGGGAGCCCGAAAATCAACGAAATCTCCCCCGGCGCGGGGTGGGAAGGAGGGGACCCGGGCTGGGCGCCCCCCGGAACGGCCCCCGGTCTTGCTGCGGGGTTTGGGGCGAGGCGGTGGCCCCCGGCCGTGAGCGGAGCCCGGGGGAGAAGCGGCGGTGAGGACCGGCCGCACCTGCTCGTGCGTGGCGGGGGCGGCGGCGGGGCCGGGGTGCGGGGGTCGCTATTGTCTCCCCGCCACCTGCACACCCTCCCGCAGGGGGGAAATGCCGGAGCTGTTATTCTTCCTTTCACTCCTTCCCCTCAGCCTCCCGCTCTGGACGCGGCCGTGGGAGAGGTTTCCCCGAGCCCCCCGTCCCCGTGTCCCGGCCGGCAGGAGCCCGCACGATGCCCGGCAGCGTGAGTGGGGCGGCGGGGCAGGGGCGGTCACGACGCGCCGGAGAGCCCGCCGTGCCTCCCGCCAGGAAACACGACCATTTTCAAGCCGGCTCCTCTCACCAACAGGAAGCGTTAAAGATAGAACAGCCGGGGCTGGGCGGGGGAGATTAGGAAGCCGAGCATCTTCTGAGCACCGAGGGCCGCTGCGGGGCCATTCCCAGCCGTGCCGGCCCCCGCTGCGATGGGAGCCGCGGACGAGCTCAGCCCACCTCCGCCCGCACGGCAACCCCACCCCGAGCCTGAGGGGACCCTGGGGTGGCACCTTTCCCTGCCCTTGCCCTGCCTCGGGTGGGCTTCCTGGCCCCCCACCATGCGTTCACTACAGAAGAGGTAGCAAGTCCTGCAAACAGTGGGGAGAAACCAAAAAGATACAGAGTAAAGCAGTCAGTGATGCTCCGAGGAGGACCAGCACCTTTTAATCAAGCACTATAAAAATTTTTAATTATAATAAAAGATTTTTAAATAAGATTTTAATAAAAGAAACCATAGGAGAAAAATAAAAAGAAACCACCCCAAACCCAAACAGCGCTGCCCCAACCCCATGTCACTCCCTCCTGAGCCAGTGCTTGAGCTAGACCTGGCTTTCCATGTGCTTTTTACTTCTAACTGTAGTAGATGCTTCAGGAAAAAAAAAAACCAAACCAAAACCCAGACATCTTGAAATTACTCAGCACCACACTATGAAAGGAAAATGCCGCTTTAGGGAAGGGTGGATTTTTTGTTGCTTTGGTCAAGTAAATTAATGTTTCGCTCGCTCAGAGGTTGCTGTCCAAGATTATATGATTTGTGTAACTTAATATAACACCACACCCTTGTCCTGAGCTGTGTGCAAGTAGTTTGGCTTTTGTTTTCAAATTGTTTCTAGCCCTGGAGCATTTGAAGAAAGTCTTTAAAATATTAACCAATACAACTGTCATCTTCCTGTGTTTCCAGACATTTTACAATAGGAAACAAAGAACAAAACCCTGCAACAATAGCTCAGAGGTATGAATTGCCTCATTCATCTCACTGGAATGTTCAAAAACATTAACTATTTTTTGACTGATTCAGCAGAAAATGTGCTGGCAGATAATAAGCTTATGCCTGATCCAGGGACGATTCAGGGACTGAGAAAGGTTTTATTTTTTCAGCACAGCAAAAGTAGCACCTTTCCTGAAAGGAAGCAAATATTCTTGTTGATGGAAGAGGCTCCGTGAGAGGAGAAATTCTGACATGGCTTAAAGGGAGCTGCTGCCTTCCTCTCTCTGTAGTGGCTTTGAAATGGCACATGGCTTATCTCACCCCAATTCTGTAATAAATTAATTAGCAATTAGTGCCCTCTCAAACATACCGCAAACTAGCACTGCAGTCTTTTGGATTTGACTGGGAAAGGCCCAGGATTTTAGAGGGGGTTGTTTCAACTGTTAGTTTAACACTCAGAGCAGGAAAGCCAAGGTCAGCACCGCAGGCTGAACCGCTGCTGAGACAATGCCATCACTAAAACAAAGTTTGTTCCAGCGCCTGTTAGAGCACACTGATGTGCTACAGGCAGGGAGAAAACACGTGGCTCGACTGCCATCCTGAAATGTCCTCCCATTAGGAATGGTGGGAATGGGAATGAATCACCACTTCCAGCACCGGTGTCTCATTCCCAAGACCAGGAGGTCAGCACAGGGCTGTGTTACACCAAGCCACGTCCTCAGAGGCACCGGCCAGAGGCAGACAGAGCTGTCACAGCTGGCACTGGGCACCCAGGGGGGGCTCCAGCACCAGGGACAACACATCCTAACCACAGAACAGCCTATGACACCTAAAAACTGAACCAGAGTCATAACAGAAATGGACCTGTTAAACAATAACCAACTTCTTCACCTTGTGGAGTATCATCAGCAGGTGGTTATGGGAAAGAGCTGTTTCATTAACAGACAGACTGTAGTGCTTGATGACAGAACATTTGTATATTAACTCAGAAAAAAGCAAATCTGTTATTTTTGCTTACCCCACCACCCAGTATCAGAATTCTTGAGTTCAAGAGCAGGTGAACCAGTGAACTTCCAGTTAACCATTCTAACAGTGACTGGGGAGCTGCATGTGTCTTAAATAAAGGCACCATCAGACGGCCAAAGATTAATTTTTTTTTTTTTAATGAAACCTCTGACATTTATAAGCAGTATGTAATTTTAAATAAATAGAAAACATGAAGGGGAGAAAAAAATTCACAAAAAAAGTTTTTAAAAAGTGCTAGTTTTCCCCAATTTCCTTCAAAGATTTCATGATACAGAAAGTTACATGTGCCATTTTGGCTAAATTCAAGATAATTTTATGCAAAGTAATGCCACAGTTATACTTCCCTTTCCTCCCCCCAAGACACAACCCACACACAGTAATACAACCATTTCAGCAAATTTCTAGAAATTAGTGCTTTAGCTCTGCCCTGCTCTGCCACACACAGTATCAGTGGCTCACAGTTGGCACAAACATGGAAAACTCAGTGTTTTTAAAAAGTCAACAGAAAACCATTTAAGTAACCACTGTTAAAATTATGTTAAGAGTACATCTTGGGCTCAGGTTTTCATATGCTTTAAAATCACACCTAACTGTAAACAAAAGTGCGCACATGTGTCAGTGCTGACCAGCACTGCCTCAGCCAGGCACTTAGAGGTGGCTGTCCCCAACCTGGGCTGAAAACTCAGCTCTGTGAAGTTTTACACTGCTGCAGCAGAGGGACCTCTTCCAAGACAGCTTAATCCGTGGTTTCCTGTCATCTTTTACAGAGAGGTCCCTCTGATTTGTAACAGTGGTTGCCAGCCATCTCAGGGGATGTTCAGAACAACTTTGGCAACTGCCTGAGTTGTTTCACATCAAGAATGGTGCCAACAGAATTTATGCTGTTTGACTGGTTTAACGTTTCAAGGGTTGGAGTACGCAGATTTCCAGGGAACACCTGAGTATCTCCATCTTTCCCACCAGGCTGCTCAGTGAATTCAATCCTCCCAGGTAACAATTTGGTTTTCGACTTTAAATCCTTTAAGAACTGAACTGAGTTTTCATCTGCTTGATCTGCTCTGGGAGGAAAAATTTCATTTGCAATATTTCTTAATATAGGGTTGTTTAATTCCGGTGGAGAAGCAGTCACAGTCAACTCTCTGCTGTGACCTTTTAGGTGAATGGGAAGTCTTCCATCCATTCTTTTGGACAATTCAGTCCAGTGGTTGAAGCTGTCCAACACAGGGGTACAGTTTTTGCCTGGCACGCTTTCTTTTTTGACTGTGCCAGAATTGCCATCCTGAACCTGCAGTTCCTCTTCGTCTTCACTGCTGTCGCTGCCCTGTATCAGCCCATATCTCTTCATGTACTTCTTGGTTGCAAAGGACATGTTGTTTGGTGAAATTAAGCTAAGACCCACCATGCTCTTGTCCGTATTTGAATGCAAGATGTCTTGGAAAGAGAAATCTGCAGGAGGATTTTGGCCTGAGCGACTGAGAGACAGTCGAGATAACTGGTTTTCACTGAGATACTTGAGTGCTATAGCGTTTGCTTCCATGCTCAGATCAACAACGTTAGGAGTTAAGCCACACATGCTGACATTGGCAAATGACATATAATTTAATCCAGGCACCACTGCTTCAGGATTTATGCATGCCAAGATGCTGAAATAAAGCACCAAAAAAGTTAGTTTAGCATTACAGGGAAAGTGTGAGTTTCAAAATGTAATAATTTCGCTCACTGTACTGATTTGTCCTTCCTTCTGAACACCACAGCTTCATCAGGCTGCTCAGCACCCAGACTTTACATTCTGCATTCACTGAAAAACAGCTACTCAACCCCACAGTATCCAAACACTGTTAGAGAATGGATCATATTCTCTTCTGATTCAGTACAGAGTGCCCTCATATGAAGAACTCAGCAGGTTTCAGAACTGGTTCTGGTTTTAAAGCAGGTTTTCCTCAACAGTGAGTGTGACATCATGCCTCTGATCCTCAGACTTTGGATTCTACCATCCAACTCAAATTTTATAACTAGATAGAAGCTACAAGCCCAGTGACAGAGACAAAGAACATCTCTTTCTCAGTGCCTGCAAATTCCAGGATTTTTACAGCAACTCTGGCATAGTATCTGTTTCCAGAAGCCTGCAAGGTTCTAGTTTTCTAAAGCATCCTTCAGTAAGGAAATGTTCATTCAGTCTGTTGCTTGGTACACCAATTTCTTGCATACATTATGTGTTAAAGACAAGCTCTGGTACACCAGCAGTGGTTATAAAGCAGTGCATTTAGTACATGTGTCATATACTAGTTCACAAACCCAAACCCCTCATGTCGATAGTTAAGAGGTTTCCTATTTAACTGAGCTCAAATTCTGAAGTTTGCTTAGGGAGAATAAACTGGCTCAGAACAACAACCACTGATTATGCTGCGGAGTTGCACTGCTGTTTCTCTCTCTACTGAGCTGTAAGACCTTTTCTCAGAATTGTTTATCAGTCATGAAAGTGGCAGAAGGAAGAACTCCACCCCGCTCCCCAAGTTTGAAGAAAAAAACCCCAAGACTTCCAGTTCTATCCTATGGTTCACTCATTAGCACATTATTGACGGTAAAGGAACACTAACAGACTCTCCCCATGGGAAGGTAGCCCAGAAATTCCAGAAAAACACCCAATAAAACTAAAGCAAAAAGGAGAGAAAAGAGTTAGAAACTGGTATGACTGGAAGCAGCTTTTGATACGTGGCTGAAGATTAATTAGGAGGTGGTCAGATTTTTTGTTTACATAACAGCTACATACTGGGTTCAAGAAGACAATAAGTATGAAAGTGAAGCTGTACCAGGCAATCAGCCCATGTCCAAGCAGCTACAGAAGTAAATTCCTGTGTTAAAACCCCTTCTTCAGAAGTTGCTTCTGTTCCTTCCTCTGTTTCAACAAGGCTGTTTCCCTCCCCAGCCTCTGCAGTCTCTCCATTCAAGGTAATGGTAACAGTAACAAGCAATTAGGACAGAACCAGTTTTGATTAGATACCAAGGCCATGATAACAATTTCAGGTACTCTGGTGAAGTGCAAGACAAAGGTAAAGAAGCAATGAGAAAACACACAGCTCTTTAACATTCAGTCTCCCAAGTCCAGTGTTTCTCTGGAATACTTTGTCATAGCCCAAAGGATTGAAATTACTCAAGCAGCCTCATTATTCTAGGGAATTGCATGCTACTGCGTGCACAATACTTCAAGGATCACCAGATGCTCTAGCAGCTAGAACCACTGGTGTTATATTTAAATAATCTGACTTACTAGCAGAGCTCTTAAACCTATCTGAAATGCCCATAGCATGAGCCGGTGTTTCATCTTTGCAGAAAACGTAGATCAAGTTGCAACCAAATGCCCAGTGGCAATGAACACAGTCCCTTTTCCCACTGAGCCAATCTTCATTTTCAGTTGGATCTACAAATTGCTATTCAAAAACCACCAGTATTTTACCTGGCATTCTCCACTTTGTGTGTATTTTTCTTCATATTGCCAGGTGAGTCCAATGTTATTCCAAGACTCTTCAGCTGTTTGAGTGTAGCACTAATGACACTCTCTTTATCCACCACTCCTGTGTCAGTCTCTGAAGCCACTTCTGTTGAACCACCAATATCCTGATACTTAGGACCATCATCATTAACAAATACAGATTTTACAGGCAAGTGATCTTGCTCTTCTGAGGACTTTAGGAGTTGGTTTACTTGGCCCTACAGAAAAAGGGAGTGGGGAAGAGAGCACATGACAATAATATGACATGCAGGACTTGTAAAAAACCTAAATCCTAGTTTATTCTTATGCAACTTCAAATGCAACTTGATGGGTTAATAGCTTATTCTGACAAAGAAGGCAAATTCAGATTCAGTTCAGATGCAATCACTTAAACTCACAGCAGTGTAGTCAAACACTGGAACATCTTACATTTCAAGCTTTCTGTAAGAGTCTGTTCTGAATTTAAGCACATCACATACTGATATTATTCAAGATTCAAGTCTCTGCCCTTTAAGAGACTTGAAGGTAAAATGCTGTGTTATTTTAAAGGTCACTAATTTGGGAAGTTCCCAGCTGACATCTTTGAAGTAAGAAATTACTATTTATTAGATAGCAGACAGTACTCCTTGTATGCATGAAAGAGCAAAGTACAAAATAACCACTTAAAACCCTTAGAAAAAAATGAAGAACCACAAACTTGGAACTTTCAGTAGAGCACAACACGTGAACTTGAAAACCACACGCAGTTTTCGCTGATGCCAATACCACATCATAACTTCAGCAGTGGCTGTTTTGACTGTTGCACTGAGTGCAGAATATGAAATGCTTGTGAATTACCAGCAAGTCCTGGTAAAGCCTCTGATCCCCTGAGGGATGCCGAGGCAGCAGCGAGGCGGGTGGCTCTGAGTTCTGCTCGCTTGTTACCACCACCTGGTTGCTGGCTCCCTCCGATGGTTCCTTCTGTAAAGACACGCTGACACTTTCTTCCAAGGATGAACGGCGAACAAGCGCCTGGGAGACGTTTCCATTTCTGGAAGAGAACACCAACAGAGCTTGAAACTCCCTTGAAACAGAAAAAGCATGATTATCATTACATCTACCTTATCATTTCATGAACAGAGGAGGAGAAAAATCGAGTACTGGAAACGGATCCTTTTGGTTTGTCTGCTGCTTGAGGCTTTGCTCCTTTCTGCAGTCACTTTCTTTCAAAAGTCATTGGAGGACTGAGGAAATACACATTGCAGTGTAACACTGTAAGAGTTTTTTCAAAAGATGATTTAAAAGTGGCAATGGCTTCTCTGGACTAGTCAAAACTCAATGACACTCTATGACAACCTTAAGGCAGATGAAAAGAAGGTTATTAACAATTTGAGTTCTTTTTTATGTTTCAGCATTCATATATACACTTAAAAGCCTTCAGGAACAAATATCTTCCACATTCTCTGAAACATGACTTATTCAAAAAGCTGGGTTTTTTTACCAAGGTGAGTAACTGATCCTGTGGTAGTTTAACAACTCCCCACACAGTTACAGGTTACACAGTGCACACTCAGTATCGAACTGAGAACAAACACCTAGTTGAAATATTTCCCCAAATCAGATGTGAAAGAGAAGCAATAAAGGGTAAAAAGGGTAAATACTCTAGAACAAGTTACAACATGATGCTCTGCATCCCCCTCAGCCAGCTGGTGTGTGCATTGCATACGCCTTTGGAGACCAGACATATCAACACTACCATCATCCCGAGGAGATCCTTAAGTGACCCTCCTCCCCCTTCCTGTTCCTCCTGAGGAGACAAGTGTAAGATAAGGGAATTTCAGAACTCAACTGATCAATTGCCTATGTTGAAAGCGATAAGATTTAAACCACGTGATATACCAGATAGTCAATGTAGGTTATCAGCTGCTGTTACACTAGCAATTATTCATCATTTCCAAAAATGTTCCCTCCTCCTCAAAGAAATCTGGGTGATGCTCTACATTCTTACTATGAGATACTTATACAGCTATTCTGCAGGTTTATGAACTCAAGTTGAAGAGAATCTTAAATGGCATCTTCCTAATATACAATGTTCAGAAGACTGATTTGAATCCATCATATTTATGGCAGCAGCGTATGTTTGCAGAGAGTATTTAATCAAGGACTATGAATGTTTAAGTTATAGTTTAATTACCAACATCTTTCTCAATATGATTATTTTAGAAACCTAATTTAACTGGAAGGGCATTCCTTCTCCTTTGGCTTTTTATACTTAGAGAATATTATATCACTAACAGTGCTAAATTGCTGAGCTATTCCATATGTAGAAATAACATCCACATAGAAAATTAAAAAGTTATAAAATCACTTCTGAAATCTGTTTGAGATTAGTCATTGCACTATAAAGAATCTGAGCTTAAAAACTATTAAACAGTAGTGAAGTCAGTACCTGCATTCACTACACACGAAGTAATTAGGTATAAAATCTAGAAAAATTCAGGGAACAGACACATAACCATAAACGCTTCATCCCAAGACCCTCAGGACTGGAAGAGTTCTGAATGCTGACAGGGAAAAGCCACTGTAGAAAACAACTGCCTATAGCAGCATCTCCTTTTCCAGTCAGGATTTAAGGTAAGAAAAGGAATGTTGCCAGCACTGTACATGCTTTTCCAAGTTAAAGGCTTTTGCCATCAGCTCCTGCTGATAGGTAGGCAAGCTAAACCTGCACGAGTGATAAATGCAGACTCTAAAGGCAACTGTGTTTTGGTGAGCTGCACAATTCGATGCACAACTGACAAAGAAAGAAGGAAAGAACACAACAACTGAAGTCAGGTGACTATTTACAATTCCCAAGGATAAAAAAATTTATGAAAATAGTAACTTATGAAAGGTAGCTCAGCCTATTATGTGAACAGAAGATATTTCTGGTTACTTACTGGGGAATGTTCTGATTAGTTCCTTCCTCCACAAGATGAGTGCTCTCTACGAAGCTGGGAATGTCAACCACTCTTAAAGAAGAAGCAATACTTGTATTACTTGCATCTTGTTCAGCACTAATTGAGATGCTTATGTCTTCCTTGGAAATCTCTTCATCCTCTTTTTTCCCTTGTGGTATGGAGTCATCTTGTTTTTCTGAGGCTGTATTCCAAAATAAACTAGCACCTACAACAAAAATTAAAGATTTTCCCATTTAAGGAAGTCATTACTTTCTCCTGAGACGCTTCGGCTTTGTAAAGCTAGGGGAATAATTTTCTCCAATTCACCTTTTTTCACCATTTTAAAAAGCGATTTAGGGTTTAAATCAGCTAAGAGTTGCCAAAACATCATTCAAGTCCTTGTTTCCTCCAAAGCATACTTAATGAAATAAGTCATTTTAATGCACTGACCTTAAGCCTGTTCGAAAGTTTCCTCCAGACTAACCAAAATATTTCCACGGATTTAACAGGAACCAATACATTAATATGTAACTTTACAGACACAGCTGCATAACTTGCCTAAATTAAAGCAAATACAGTCTCCTCTTCATGCATGATTTACAAACAACATCAATAATATATTTATTAGAACACTATATGGCACAGAAGCTATTACTTTTCAAAACAGTGTATTCATTCAAAAAAAGACATGGATTTTTCTTTCAATAAGGCGCAGTTTTAAATAGAAGATCTTCCTAAAGCTATTGGAAAAGTAATTCTTTCAGTGATGGCAATCACTGCCATTACAGCCCAAAGACAAAAGTAACTCCAGCCTAAACTTGCAAATAACACTAAGAGAACTTAACTGGCTTGTGGATCTAGGTGCACATTTGCACAGCAGTTCTGCAAAACATTCCCTCCATGCCCAAACAAATCCCAGAAACATCCAGAAAAAGCGGTGCCAGTCTATTTTAAAAGAATAAAAGCGTTACCTGTGCTCACAGCAACGCTCACGCTTCTCCTCTTGTGCGGACGAGGTGAGGTCTGTGTTTCCATAGAAACGAGGTCCCTCTGCTTCTCAGGCTGCAGAGCATGGATTGCTGCTGCCGGCTCGGAGGAACACGTCTGGCGAGCCTGTGCCTCCAGTAAGCGCTGGATCTGTAACAGTTATCACAGAGTTACGATTTGCACGATGAAAATACAAACTATCCTAGGCAAAAGTGAATTACTAAACTGCGTCCCTCTAAGATCTGGATTCAAGTCCAGGCTGAGCTGCCAAAGAAGTTCTGATAACCTTCCAGTTCTCAGCAGTGCACAGAGCATTAATCAAAACACCAATTTTGATGTTGGCAGAGCTAGCAAAGGAGAGGTTTAAGCACACTGGCAAAGCCAGCACCAAGACAGCTTGAGTAAAGCCTATTTGCACCACACTTGTTGGAAGTATTCCTTGTCCCTTTCATTCATATACAAAGCCTATTACCAACTTACCAGCCAGCCATTTATATGCCAACTATCCCTACACCAACGTTGTATTAATTACTAAACTAAGCACTTAAGTGATAAAATTGAGGTTGCCTAGGCAGTGTTTACTCTAGGATTTGCACCCATCCTGTCCACCGATCAGTTTGTAGCTTTGGGGAAAAATACCAGTAAAGGCTGCATTTCTGCAATAAGCAGAGGTATCCCTCTCCGCTTTGAGAGCTTGATTTCACATACAGGAACTATACCAAAATCTTATTTCAGCTGTAATTTTCTAATTAAAGTACTATGAACAACTTTCCTATTCGTACCATTCATCACCAGCAGCAAAATTTAAACTCTGGCTCTTCAGCCCCAAGTCATGCTCTGCAAAATACAGAGACAACAATTTAATTAAAGGGCTGATATCTTGAAGAAGCTTAACCTGGTAAGGTAACAGAACTCAGTGAGATGCCCAAAGCCCATTTTTCCAGCACAGCAACACAGATCTAATGAATCCTGCCAGTCTGCTGCAGATAGCTGAAATCTTCAAAGCAAAAGCTCAGGGAGGTGCAGGCTTGCAGGTGGACAAAGCAACAGATGAGAACATTCTGTGCTTCATCTGTGTGCTTACAATAATTCCAAAGCCTACGCAGTAGATTATTTTTTTTTACACAGAAAAACCTTATATATGGCAAGGCATTTATACATTTTGCATTGCAAAAGGGTGCTAAAGGGAAACTTTTATGTTGTGGTAATGTGATAAAATAAACGCAAAACTCAATTAGATATGAGCCAAATAGTTTTCATTTAAGGGACACCAACGAGCAGAGCTCATCAGGACCCCTCTCCAACCCCAAACTGCAGCTGGTATGACAGGCTCCCTTGCTCCAACACAGATAGACAACAGTTAATTTAATTCCTTTGGCAGGGGGAATTATCAAAGCATAATCACTAAGAGGCCAGAGGAGAAAGCTGCCATTTCCACAAACCTGAGCTTGAAGTAATTTGAGTTGTCTGTCTTGCTCTGTAAGAACCCGGTATGCATCTGGAGATAATCCCATCATTCCATTATCTGATCCTGCTTTAGAAGCAGGCGTGTGCAGGCAGGGCGAGTGGGCTGCACAGCACTGTGGGCTCGAGTGGGACGGCATCCTCGTTCCAGGTGACAGGCTGCTGTCCAGAGAACAGCTCCCTGCTTTCCCATGATAGCTCGGGCTTATAGGGCTGCCTGTGGCATATCCTGGATTGCAGCAAATATTTGGGCAAGTGATATTTTGATGGAGCACTGCACAGGGCTTCTGCTGAGCCATCTCCAACTGCATCTCAGCTCCATGTTTGGGGCTCATTTTTGCAATTCCTTGCCACGAATTTACCAGATTATAGTGGATGGAAGCAGGACACTGACAGCTGCATGCCGGGCAGCAAGGTGGCACTTGAGCTGGCACCTGCAGGTCTGCTGGGTGTCTGCAGCTCTCTGGTGAGAAAGCAGAGTTGTAGAGGACTGGCTGTGTAACAGCAGGAAGCTGCTTGGAACTGGATACTGATGTTCTCCTAACCGGAGGCTCTCCCTGCGGTGTGACACTTTCGGGATTCAACACAAGTCTTTCCGATGGCTTTCTGGGGTGGTGCACGGATGTCTCTGGGGAAGGCCCACTACAAGGGGTTGAAGGAGAAGATGACCCTGAACTTTTTCTTGACTGAGGGCAAGTGTTCTTACAGTGCATCTGCTGCTGTACTAGAGCTTGCTTTCCTCTGGGAGGCATCGAAGCTGGAATTTTCTGGCTTATAGCATTTGGTAATTGCCTCAAAGAGGGATCTCCCATATTAGCAGAAGAATTCTGCCTGTTTTCAGAATGCTGGGTGGGATGATATGTAGACCTCAAGCAGGACTTCTTTTTAATAGGCTGATTTGGCACTGAGGGTAGACTTTTAGCATTTGAAGTCCCCACAGGCTTAGACAATTGTCCTGGTTCCACAAAACTCCCGTCCAAAATAAGTGACAGTTCTGGCACTGAAGGAAAAATCCTGGTAACCTGAAGGGATAATTACAAAAATTTAAGATAATTTAAAAATATTATCTGATCTTTACATGCAGAATTTCCTCAAAGAAAATGTTTTAATTTACAATCAACGTATGATGATCATGAGCTCGAAATCAACTACACATTAAATATATTCCTAAAAGATTGGAGAATCCAGATACAGAAAAAGCAGCAAGCTCTCTGGGGTCATTCTGAAAAGAAAAAAATTGCTTTCATACAGCATAACAGCCATGTGTACCAAATGAGTGTTCCATGTCATTTCAAAGTCCCCTTCTAGAAGAAGATTACATGCTCCCTCTTACTATTTTTAGACCCAGGAGATTGGTACAACAGAGCATATTTAATAATCCACAACTGTCACATCCTTCTAGACTGTACAAGGGCTGCTATTTATTGTATTTGTATACATTTCAGTAAAAAAAGGACAGCAAATCTTTATTTACTTATTCACCCAAAACTACACGGGTTTGCTGTCTCTCTTTGCTTCAGACACCACAGCTCTTCCACTGAACAGCAGCAAGATTCCTAAAGTACAAACTACTATCTCTGTTTCCAAATTCTAGCATACAGAGGAATTAAAGTGCCTAGAATACTGGAATAAAGGCAGGTTAACTAGAGCAGGAGTCAGGACTCTCAGTTCATTTCTTCAATTCTGTTTTCCCCTTCTAGCACTTTGAGACAGAGGCTTTACGCTCTCCAGTCCCCTTAAAATGAGTTTTGCTGCTCCAAGTGTCACACTTGAGATGCCCAGAGCAATTATTTACTTACCTGTTGGCTCACTGGGTGAGGACTTGGAATTGGTCTGGGGGATAAATCCTCATCTTCTACACCAGAGTCGTGATCGCTTGCTGACAACTTGCTGGGTGAAGAGCCCTGGAGAGGACTAAAACCAAAATAAATCAAAGTGAAAACGTTTGGTTGTCAGATTTGGCAGCAGTAACACGAAATTTCATGTTTTTCACTGTGCCATCTACAGTGCAGTATCAGCATCATTTTTCCAAGAAGCAGTTGCTATCCATCTTCTCTCTGCTTAGACAGGGGAGTTCACACAGCAAATAATTTTAAGATCAAACAGTGAAAGTACAAATGCTGCTTCTGGGCAAAGAGATACCAACCCTCCCTCCCCTACAGCCTCACACATACACACCTTTTAAGTGACATTCTAACAGCAAAGCACTGATTTATACTAAAGATAGGAAGTGCTACAATAAAGATTGTAACATTGTTTGAAGGAAAATAAAGGCCATCTCAGTTAAAGATAAAAATCTGATGGATAAGCCAGGTTATGAAAAATTCCTAAAATTTCAACCTATCCAGGTCTCAGAGCTCTGAGAAGTGGGAAGAAAAAAGGAATTTTTACCAACTTAAGTAGATTTCAGTTAGAGATTTGCTTCAAAGGACACATCTCAAAGCTTAATATAGTGAACTAAGCTTCATCAGTAAGGAAGCCTTTTTAGAAACATTGACAGTATAAATTACAACCACCACTACTAAGAGCAGAAATCTGGGTAGTTTCTTTTGGACTACAAGTCAACTCGACCACCTCCCTTGAAAAATATTAACTCTAGGAATAAACAAAAGGACATACAAAGATTTTAATGCAACAACATGTATGCACAGCTAAACTGACACACAGCACAGAAGAGGTCAGAAACCTCATCAAATAAACATTTCATTTTTGCATATAAGTGACGTCTGGAAGATTTACCTTCTGATTGGAAGTTTCTTGCAAACTCTGCTGAAGAACTCAGTTTCTGCATTTTGGTTTTCTGCACTCAGCTCAAATTGGATAGGGGTCTTGTCTGAGGGTTCAACATTCTGGAAGAAAGTGTTCCATATTTGTGAAGCATGAAACATTCAAACTTTCAGTCACTGAGGTACCACTCCCAATAAAACAGTTTTAAGGACGTTTATAGGCTTATTTTCTGCTTGTCCTCTACTTTCAAATTTTTCACCACTGCAAGAAGGGAGGCAACTTCCCTTCCTGTTTAACACTGTTGCCCTGCTACTCTGTGAAGTGGTTGGGCTATTTATAGCCATGAGCAGATGCTTCCTTGCTGTAACTGCTCACACACTCCTCCACAAGCCTCCACCACCATAGGAAACAGCAAATCTTCCTACACTGCTTCACACACCACTGCTGGGCAAGTCCTGGAGGCAACAGAAGTGAATCTCTCTTGAGAGGATGGTCATCTTCAGAAAGCTAAGCTGCACTTAGGCTAAAGGTGGAAGGTAGTCCTGACCAGGGAAATTTAATTGGAAGAACAGAGTAAACACAGCACAGGACACACACTAAAGTCGCTGCTTCTCTGCCAGAGTACAGCAGCACTTATTGGGCAGATTGACAATTCAGATTCTGAACAAGCCTAGGAAAAGACACAAGGAACTACCATTTCCTAGAATTTCCTCAAACCTTACTAATTATGTCCCAGAGGTCTGTATCATAAAATTCTTTCAAAGGGTTACTTTGCAAAAAGATAAAATTGTTCATACTCGATTACTGCAGCGCAACAAGAGACCTGTTGATTAGTGACCACTGAATTTCTTTTTGCATTCAACTTCAAGCAAAGCACAGTTCTCAGCTTTGCTCTCTAGAAAGCATCACCCACAGCAGCTGTTGGATGTGGCCAGTGCACACACAGCACACCAGATTAACAAATGCTATAGGAAGTCTGAATCTCTGCCCATAAAGCCAAAGTCACGGGCAGGAGAGCACAACACAGCACATTTCAAAGACAGATCCTTAATGCTGTTAGAAGAGCGAGCAGTGCTGACTTTGGAAGTCATCTCCCAGCTTGAGGGACAAACTGAATTTACAGCAGTCACTGGGAAAAGGTATCTTTATAGAGCTACATCATTATCAAGCACTGCAGTTCCATTTGGGTCACATTATAAGGCAATTTTTGAAGTACCACGATGCAGCAGGAAACCAAGCCACTTACTTTGAAGAGCTGTACTGTGTCATGGCAAGTCAAGATCTGAAACCCCAGTTCAGCCTGTCCACTGCACGGAACACACTCATAAAACTCTGGTTCCTTGTGTGTCAATGAATAAAGCACAATAAGAAAACTCCCAGATTCTGAAAAAACCCTACAATAGAAGAAAAACGCATCTTTAAAAAAGTTAATCAGGAAGAAGGCCCTTAGATTCTCAATACAGGGAGTAAATTTTCACATGGTTTAACAAACTGGTGAATCACAGCCCTTTGAGTGGTACTGAGATATAGATGAAGCAGGTGGATTTATGATTGAAACCACAGGTAAGAATCAAGGAAAAGTAGAGAAATTAATCTCCTTTGTAGTTCAAACCTTTATGATCACTTAGTACTTTAAATTACTTCCTGGAAGACTTCAAGAATAGCATAGAAGAAAACATTTGTAAAAATGATACTGTGTTTAATTTTCTTTTTAGAATTCAATTGAGGATGTACTATAGAGACACTTAGTGGTTCAGTTATCCCTAAACATCAAAAAAATTCTCATTAGCAAAGAAATTAAAAGAAAAAATTATATTGAAGGTTTTTTCCTACAAGTTGAGAACAAGGAGTAACAAGTCAGCATTTAACACAAAAGTTCAAGGATAATGACAAGAATGTATTTTCCAGGAAAAGGCAGCACTACTTTTTTTTTATAGCACTTCTAATATGCTTGTTTGTAGATTTTTTGTTTGCTTTTGCTTTAAATAATATATTTCTCTAAAGCAGTAGAAACAGGATGCTTGAAAAACGCATTTACATACAACTTCAAAATTATGCTTACAACTTAAAGAGTTAAAAATGTTTGAGGCAGATTAACCAGTTAGCCTGCAGAGGTTAATTCCGTTTGCATGGTTCATCAAATCTCCCTAATCCAGTTCCATGATGAAATCAGTGAGAGATAATGAGAGTCAAGCATCTAACTTGCCTATCTAATAATCTAATTGGGCTCTTATCTGTATTTGGATGTATTTAGGTTGTTAAGGGAACACATTTATTCACCAAATGTGGTTTTATTTATTCACCAAATGTGGTTTTATTTTATAACTTAAAAACAGGTGTGGTCAAGCAAAAGAAGTGCTTATGCATACAGCATATTTTAAAGTTTCATTTAACTGAAGCGCAGTTTTAAACTGTAAACACCTGAACTCCCTCCCAGCTTTCCTGTAAATATAACTTGGCAAACATCACAAGTGAAAAGATGTAGAGAATTAGGAATGATTATCTACTAACATCATAAAGAAAAAAAACCCACCCCAGAATGCAAATACTATTAACAAACCCTGAATATTTAACAGGAAGTCATAACAGGGCAGTATTAGCTGCTCAGCAATATGCTTCAATATGTTGGTCAGGTACAACCAGGGAGAAAGCTTATGTCAAAGAAAATACCCATAAGAAAAGCTAAAAACCGAAACCAAAACCCCATCACTGTTTAAAGTAGTATTTCCTGCTTACAGCTTCTTATTTAAACTAAAATGCAGTGACCTTCATGATATTAATGTTTATCCTCTTCTGTCTTTGAGATATCAGCCCAGCTTTCCAACAATTCAGTCACAGAAAATTCTTGAGGCAGAAGCCAAAACCAAAAAGAACATTTAAACCAGACAGCTTTACCTCTATACAACACATAAATCACAGCGTTCCCTCAAATATCTTTGAACAGAGCCCATGCTGCCATGCATTTCTGTGGAATACATTTCCAGGCAGCTTCTGTGTTTTATTTTACCTATAAAAGTGACTTGCCTTTCTTGAATCGAAGAACTGAATAAATATCGCAAGCAACAGGCCCAGACTTGAGGACTACAGATCTGAGTAACTCCACTCAGCCAACTAGAAGTAAGGAAAAATATCCAGTTAGAGCCAGTTCTGTTACCAAGTTCTCACTGTGCAATCCCTCAGATACATGGCAAATCAATGTGTATTAGTCTGGACCAACAGAGCAAAACACTTACACTCCAACTAACGGCAGAGCATAAGCCTTGGGATCGGACTCAAGCAGCAAAAGTAATTTCCGTGTTTGGTCCATAGTAAGGTAGCTGAAAGAAAGCAGGAGTTGGGGTTTCTTTTAGTATTTTGGAAGGCAGTCTCAGAAAAAAATCTTAAAGAGGAAAAATACAAGTTTAGAAAATACTGTGAGAAAAGAAGTTTGGGGAAAAATAATCAAAACTATTCTTCTCCACATTTTACAGCAACTCCTCAGCTTTTCATCCAGTCCCCATGTATGAAAGAATTATCAAGGATAAAATGTACTTATTGGTAGTACTAATTCCAGTATTTCAGTGAACACTAGAATTAGTATTCACAACAAATCCAGAAGTGCAAGTCATGTTAAATTTGAAGAGTAACTTTTGGAGATGCAAAGTGTCTCTCTCTCCAAGTAAAATAACATTCAGTTGCTTCAAATTATTTCCCTGATCTATCCTTAGCTCATCCTACCAAATTAGTTCCCAGTCAGAATGATGACTCCCCAATACCATCTTAGAAGCACCATTAACACAAGAAGCTTTGATTTGCATCCCAGGACAAGCACTGATGGTGTTTAAAAAGCTGGATGGTGTTTATATTTATTATGTTATCTGGAGGTGTGTCTCCCTACCCCAGTAGGAAGATCCTTCTACTGAAGCCAAGAGCGAGAAGAACTTCTACTGAACCAGTTAGTGTTTTTGCTCCACCCCATTTCCTGTTTCTTGTTCATAACTTGCAGTATTTTTCCAAGACCAGGAGTTCTGTTATTTTTATGCCAGCTATTTTACTAAAAAGAAAAGTACAGCTGAGGTTTCTCCAACCTACCTCCTTTAAGAAGGGCAGCAAACTGCCAGGTAACTCTGACAGCTTTAGCAATACCCTTTACTCACCCACATTTACAGGTTCCTCGAACTTGTGCAATACTCATAGGGCTGTTCAAATTTCTTGCCAGGGCTGTTGGAATAATTGGGACAGACTTCACAGGGGTGTATTCCAAGGTATTTGCCACAGTAACAGAAGCCCAGTGAAAATTAAAATGTAGGTTATCCAGGTTTTCTGTGAAAACAATGTGAGCTCTAACAGTGAGCAGTTTAGAAAGATCCAGTGATTCTTTGCTGCACAGACCATTCTGCAGACCCTAGAAGTAAGGAAAAAAGAAGAGTTAAATACACTAAATTATCTTCCTGTGATTACCACGATTCAAGATGTATTACATTAGGAAATCAAATCATTCATCATAGCTACTACTGCAACTGGTACGATGCAAAAAGCCATTAATCCAGCTCTCTAAAGTTCATTGCTCTACCAAACATAATGACTAACATAGAATACATTAAAAATTAGTGATGCATACCTTGCAATTGTTTTATGATGTATTAAAATAACTTAGAGTTATTATACTTTTATATAAGTAACAGACAACTAGAAGGCTCAAGCTGATCTATTGACGTTATTTTTACCTGCAATCCGAAAGTTTGTAATTTAACATTTGGATATATAATCATGAGAAATTAGATGCAAAGCAAGCTTAATTTGTGTTATAAGATACACACTACAACAACTACAGGGAAAAATTTACAGGAATGGAAGGTGGATTTAGTAGTCTTTATGTCTACAGAAGAGCATAGAAATGACAGGCACAGTAGCTATGGCTACTAACCTACATAAGGCTTTACATGTTTCTTGTGAGCCACTTCCCTAGCAACACCTTATCAACAACTGCCTAAACACTGCAATTCACTCATGAGAGTTTAAAAAAAAAAAAAAAAAAGCTGTTTTCTCTTGTTTAAGTAAGTTTGCTGCAATCACTGTTTCGCTGGTTTTGGTGGTTAAACCAGCTGAAAAACTTTGGTCAGACAGGAAGATTTTACTCCAAGATTAAACAGTGGGTAATCCTTAAACACCTGTGATGACTAACTGATTTCAACAGTTTCCAATACACTTTTCAATGACACTCAAGCAGCTCATTTCACATAATTAATTACATAGTCTTGCTTCAGCCACAAGCTTGCTGTGTTGGAAATCAAGCCCTGCGCATAGTCCAGCCTCCTGCCTCGCAGACAGTTTATTGTTCAAGAGACCCAGCTGAGAGCTGCCAACCTTGAAAGCCGAGCTGATATCTTCAGCACTGTGCACTATAACATTATCTGAAGAAGGCCCCCAGGCATTAACTGTACATGGAATCAAGAAGTCTCCAGGAAGAGGTGCAGTCGGAATTTTGCCCGATCCACCAGCAACTTCTCGACCAGGATCAAAGCGGTCTATGGTCAGCGTTACGCCTTCCCCATCTTTAAAACAAATAAATAAAGTTAAGAGTCCAAGAGCAACAACTCAGGCTACTCAACCACCCAATACTGACTGTTCACCTCATGCTCAAAATTACCTTCACTTAGTGCAAGGGTCCCAAGCAAAAAACAGGAAAGTGATTTCTTCTCACTCTGCTTTGCATGGCGATAGGCAAGACGCAAGGTTTTCTCCAGCAGAGACAACTTGGGGTTTCTAAGGAGAGACAACAAGCAAGTTTAACTCACAAACCATCTTTACCAAGAACATTTGGCTTGACTAGTCCAGCAAACCAACATCAGAAGGGAAACAATTTTCCCTGTGGAGAATAAATAGCAAGCAGATAGAAGAAGCTTTTTTTTTCCTATGGAGAATAAGCAACAATGAGAGGGAAAAGCCTTTTCATCCGAAGGGCACCATTGTCACAAGAACTAGAGATGCACACAAGTGAATTATTTTAATAGCATGCAGGAAAAGTTAGAAACACTAAAAGCAAAAGAAAAAACCTTCAAAAAGCCTCAAAAGTTTAAAGAGTAAAATAGGCAAAGAAGCTTAACTAATTTTGAAGTGGTGGTAACTCATTTTAGCACTATATTTACTGTGGATGCTTAAAGCAGCAGCAGACTGGGCTCAGTGACACAGGAATGCAAGTATGGAGAAAGGTTAAGTAATTATAAAACCACTATTTGGTAAAAAATGTAGTAAATTGGAATCTAGGGCAGTAAATACATCAGTGTTATTTTAGCTTGGAAGAGCTTATCTGATTTTGACCCAAAAAGCAGTCAAAGTTGAAAATGAAGCTACTGGTTTATGTGAATATGGTGATGGTGCCTCACATCCTACCTGCTCAAGAGTAAGTGAAGTGCCTCCACAAAAGTAATTTATTTTAAACTTTGTTAAAATGTTGAGGTTTTAATATTAACTCAAAGAAGACTGTGTGGCAAATTCAAGTGGAGGCCCCTTATGTAAGGACTATCCACCCTTATATGCACAAATATCCATATACCTGCTCTAACAACTACAAGATTTTTTTAGCATCTACAGAAAAATTACCCCTACAAGTAGTAATGATTAAATTTTACCCTCCATTTGTTTTTCAAGTCGGATTTGGAATATCCTGCCCTAGAAACGCCAAAGTGCTTCAGATTTGCCTCTAGACTAATTCTAAGCAAACAGTAAGAACCAAAACATAGGAACTTTTAACATTTTAAGCCAGATGACTGAAGCAAGTTAAATGTTTAGTTGTAAGTTTTACCTGAGACACACCATGCATCTCATTTTGAAAAACCATGTTTTTCTCTGAAAAACAAGAAAGCTCCAAATATGCAGTCACTTGAGAAAACTGAAAGAAACTGAGTTACTTTAGACTGAGACCCCTCCAACCCACTCGTGCTACATCACATAAAGGGAAATTCAAATCTTTCCAATAAAAATCCCTATATGCTTATAACATATAAGCCTTTGTGCCTTGCCATACAACAGAATGAAAAGACAAAATGAGGCTTTGAATCACGCAATTTATGATTTATTTTAACCTTCAGTTTCACAAAAAAAAAAAAAAAAAGAGGTTATTGATACCTGTAGTAGGTAACGTGTGCTCCAATGACATCACCCATGGGGACCGGGTCCCAAAGTGCACACTTGGACAGAGGGAAACTGAAAGGGACCATCGTCTCGGGAACAAATCTGGGAAGAGGATCACAGAGGTAAAAAGTGGATAAAGGTACATCGTTATCTTATAATGTTTAAAAGAAGGAGCAAAGGTGTGACACAGTAAAAACAAGAAAGGGGATACATAAGCTGTTGGTATTTTGTGTTTATTTGTTTCAAGACCAGCTCAACAGAGAAGAAAGTTTGCCCTACGAAGTTGTCAGAGTTACAAAGTCAACACAAAACTTTTATTTTCCACCTGACAGTTTCTTCCTGCAGCCTTGGAAGATGTGTAGGCCAAAACAGAAGTCTGCATACAAAGCCCAAGGAAAAGCTGCTCTGGATAGAGTTTAGGGAAGAAGAGAGTTACCAGTAATTAGAAACTCCCATAGCACACAGAAAAGCTTGATTTAGACAAATTTAAGATTAGATCAGCCTCCCAAAGCTCTATTTTAGTCACTTTATTTAAAGCAAGAACACAATCCACTTAAGCTTTGAAGGCCTCTGAAATAAAGCTTTAGCCTAAATAATATAGTGCAAAACTTGCCATCAGACTTCAAAGAGCCCTGAAGAAATCAGTGAGTAACTACATTAACCTATTTACACGAGCAGATTCTTTTGAGCCTCGTAAACCAATCGTATCAAGTAAAACACAAAACAATTGACAGCCCGCATCACTTGGCAAACGCCTCGACACCTTTTAACAAATAAGCGAGAAGTCGCTTTTGTAGTTATTTGGAGCGCGAAACTTTGCCAAGAAAAGGCGCTTCCTTTGCGTTTCCTCAGGATGCCAGGAAGGGACTTTATTTTTAAGGCGGTCCTTTAAGGAACTCTTGCTCCATGAGAGGAACACCAGTCGTGTTTCCAGCGGCACACAGCTGATTCCCGTTAAAAGTCGACACCAAAACAAGCCAAATAAGACGAACCAAAATAACCCCCGAATTTAAGCCTATGAAAGAGCAAACTCGTTTAAAACCCCCCTTTTTCTACCAGATTTTGGCAAGCACGAAGCAGCACCCCCTCCCTCTCATCGCTCTTTACACCCAGAGGCGCACTCGCTGGGGGGCCGGGGGCGATGCGGGTACCTCAGATCCAGGTCGGGCCGAACGGGGTCGGGGCAGGGCCGCAGCTCTTCCCACCTCCCTCCTCCTCCTCTCCCCGGCGCGGGAGCAGCGGAGGGGCCGTGGGGGGGGAGTGGGGCCGGTGTCGCCGATGCTCCGGAGCCCAGCGAGGCTCCCCAGAGCCCAGCGAGGCTCCCCAGAGCCCACCGAGGATCCTCCGGAGCCCACCGAGGATCCTCCGGAGCCCACCGAGGATCCTCCGGAGCCCACCGAGGATCCCCCGAACCCGCCTCGCTCCCGCCGGGCCCGCCCGCTCTGCCCGCTCCGGCACCTCCCGCGGGCCCCGACCCCGCCCCCTCCACCCTCGGCGGGCCAATCAGAGCGCGCATCCCGCCCCCCTCCGCCCGCTCCGGGCCAATCGGGCGGGACCGCCGGCTCGGGCCAATCCGAGCGCACCCCGGGCAAACCAACCGCCAGCGCGCGCGCGGGGAGGGGGGTTTTAAAAAAATGCCCAAGGGCGCAGGCGCAGTGCAGGAGGCGCGGGGGCGTTGCCATGGCAGCGCTGGGGGGGGGGCCCGCCGGGTCCTTCCCAGCCCGGCTGTGGCGGGCGAGCCGCGAACCGGCACCCCCGGGCGGGGCGGGCCGCGAACCGGCAATGCCGGCCCTGCTGCAGCGCCTGCTCCGGCTTCGCCCTTTCCCAGCCGCTGACCCCGCTCCGTGAGCCCCGGCAGCGCCGCCAGCCCCGAGCCCGCGTGTCCGCCCCGCCCCGCCCGGGACCCGGAAGCGCTTTCGTGCCGCGGGGACAGCGCGGCGGCGGCTCCGCCACAGCCCCGGTCACGGCCCCGGCCCCGGTCACAGACCCGGCCCCCGCCGCTCCCCGCCCGCCCCACGGCCGCCGCACGGCCGCCGCCCCGCCGCCGCTGTCCTGCTGCTGCTCCGCCGCCGCCTCCTCCTCCTCATGAAGCCCGTCGTCGTGTTCGTCCTCGGCGGGCCCGGGGCGGGCAAGGGGACGCAGTGCGCTCGCATCGTGGAGGTGAGGCGGGGGCGCTGGGAGCTCTGCGGGGCGGCCCCGGGAGGGCTCTGGGAGGTGTCGGATCCCCCGCACTGGGGTCCGTGACCTTCCCTGGGGTGGTCGCTTGGGCCAGCGTGCCGCCCCCCGTCCCTGCCCCGCGGTCTGGTCTCTCGTGGGGCCCTCGTCCATCCCCCGCTCCTCGGTGGCGATAAATAAAAGTAACCGACCCACATCTCCCCCGCCAGCGGGTGAAGCGGTGGGGCAGTCCCCACTCCCGCCCCTGTCAGGCCACCTAGCCTTTATCCCTTTTCCTGCCTTGTCCCCCAGCCCCGCGGGATCCCGCTCCGCCCGTGGGTCTGCCTGTGCTGGCATCCGGCTTGGGGACACCCCCGTGGGGTTTTTTGCGTCCACTTTGGGGACACCCGCTTGGGGTCTGGAGGCTGCCCCTCTGTGCCTGGGTGGAAGGGCAGGAGATCGGCCCTGGAAACATTCCCGGCTGCCCGGGGGGCGCTGCCTTGCCAGGCCGGTCCTGCAGCCCATCCCGGGTGAGTGGCTCTGTACACGCTGGCACGGCCACGTAGGTGGCTCAGATGCTCAGGCTGCCGGTGTCGTGGCCTGGAAGTAGATCTGAGGTGTCCCACACACGTTGACTTCACACGTGTGGGATCAAGGTCCGTGTCTTCCGAAGCCTGTCCCATAAATGTAACAGCTGGCACAGCAGGCATTTCGGGGTGTTGGCTTTCTGGCCCGGTGCCATCTCAGTGAGTTGTAGAACTACAGTGTTAAAAATAGAATGAAACTTTGGTTCTGTGACAGAATACGGTAGAGGTCAAAGGATGTCCTGATCCCATAGATCTTGTCCCTGCTTTTCAAAGAGACTAAAACTGGCAGCATAATTTGCCAAAGCTTTTGATTGTATTATCAAATTTTCAGTTTTCTAAATACATTTTTTCAGCCCTCTGAGACAGAACAAATATCTAAGAAGGACCGGTGAACGCTCCATGGTGTAGTGCTGCCCTTTTAAAAACCAAAAACCACAGGGATAATTATGCTGTATTCAGGTGGATAATTACGGAAGTAGTTACGGCTGAATGCTTCCAAACGTGTGTATGGTGAATTTGAAACAGCTCTTTGATTAATTTTTTTTTTCATTTTTTTCTGAGCAGTTGTATGTATTTTTCTGATTAAATGCCACCTAGGATCAAAGCTTCTCCATACCCTCACTGAAAGGAATGTCTAAGAACTGTGGTGATGCCCTTGTTCCTGAAACTTTTGGTGGGAAAGAACCCCAAAACTCCTGGAATGGACACACTGAGCGTGTTGTCTGTTCTGGTGGTGCCCTGGCAGTGCTGTTACAGTTTATCCACGCTGCTGTTACATCCCAGACCTCAGTATTGTATAACTGAGTTATGTGAATTTGGTCCAGACTGAAAAATGCCGTTATGACTTTAGTTCTGAAGGATCTTAAAACCTCAAATTACAGACTTGCATTCAAACCAGCATATTCATTAAATTAAATTGTGGAATGAAAGGTTCGTGGTGCTCATAAAGCTTTTTTGGTAAGGTCAAATTCAGCCCCTGGCACGCAGCAAACAAATGAGCTTAAACTATAGGGGAATCTTGTAGGCTGTCATTAATGGCTTTCACCAAACCATTAGTGTAGCCTCAGGGCTGAAGTACCTTGTGTGTGGCTGCTGGCCTCTGTTTGGAAGTATAAATGCCTTTGGCTGGATAGGCTGATGTAATTGGATAAAGACCACTTTATTAGGAGGAGTTCAAATGAGCCATTGCTGCTCAAATCGTATTTGCTGGTGGAAAGGAGAGAAGGAAAAGACAAACTTTGCTTGTACTGTATTAATTTTCTTCTCTAAGCCTGGAAAGGGAAATCCAAATTTGCTTTAATTCTGCTGATCCCGTTTGCTGCATGGAAAGAAGTTTATTGAAGTCAGTGGGCTGACAGTGGAAAGCACTCAGACCAGCTGACTGCCAGGGAGAGCCTTTCTGCTTGCTCAGATACCTCTGTGGGAGTCACTGGCTAAAACCTGGGGGGGAGAGGGTCTGAGGTGGCTTAAGGGAGGGTTGGACTGATGCAGAGCTGCTGGGAAACTTAGGAAAAGGGGACAGGAGCAGGGAAGTGTGGGTGAAACATGGCAGAGGTACTGAAGAGGAGTGGCTTTTTTAAGCACAAATCCTCGCCCTGGCCCCTGGCAGCCCCCAGAGAGCCCTGGTGCAGGAGGGCAAGGAGCCCTTACGCAGTCAGTGCTGTATTTAGGGTGAAAGTGTGTTTTTATTCATCTTTTTAACCCTGTTGGCAGCTTGCCACGGAGAAAAGGGCCTGTAGCTGAGTCATAATCAACCTCATTCATCCTTGTTGTAAATGCACTGAATAATATTAGTTTACATTTGGAATGAATCTGACCCAGTATCTTGCTGCAAATCTGAAGGTTGTGCTGAACAAAAAGTCAGTATGAGCTATAAATGTCTTGGTTGCTATTCATACTGGAGATTTGGGACAGAGCACATCACGTGTGCAAGAAGTCTCATTTGGCTGAGGTGAGATCTTGTATTATTTTAACATCAAACTATTTTTATTGAAAACCAAGGGTGTCTGTGTTTTGTAGAGTAAAGGAGGTGTTGCATACTTAGTACCTTGGAATGATTTCTCAAAGTGTTGTAATTATTTTGCTGACTACGCTTTACGTTCCCAAAAAAAGGGAGATGGGCATCCCATGTTGTAGGTGAAATACGTATTTGTTAAGTACTAGCCTAAATCATGACTGCTCAAGATGTGTGTGCTGAAATCCCTGATTCTGGGGAAGGCATGTATTCATGCCAAATTTGGACCCAAGTGGAGAAATTATTTGAGGGAAGAAGACCTAATAACAGGCAGAAATGGGTATTGACACAGTGTAGGGAAGGGAAGAGTGGGGAAGTGATTAGGAGTCTTTATCTCCACAGATAAGGTTGGGTGAGACAGCTGAGCCAGGCTGGCTTTCCCTGACGCAGAGGGAAGACTCGACTCTTGTATGTGCCACGAACTCACAGAATTGTCAGGGAAATGCAAATGCAGCAGAACTGCTGCTCTTCTGGAGCAGTTCCTCCTGCTTAGAGAGGGATGAAGCAGAATTCCCTCTTAAGTTCTTATCCTCTCCCTTCCAGCTCTGCAGATTAACTCCTGAAACCTTCTACAGCTCTGTTAGGTGGAGCTTGGCATCATCTGGGCCTGTCGTGTGAGGCAGAATATTTGAGCGTGTAGTTGAGTGATGTCATTCGAATGCAGGTTCTTGCAATAACCTTCGTGCTTTCCACAGTGGATCCTCTGTGACTGTGAGATAATTCTGTGTGCGTAGGGCAAAATGAGTGAGTCTTATCGCTGACTTCTGAACTTTGCTTATGAAGTCATTGTGGTAAAATAAAGGGGAAAAAAATGCATTTGTCAAATCTGCACAAAATGCGCTTTCTCGTACTTAAATTTTAAATCCTGAGAACCTTTGCCTGAGATGCAAAGGTCTTTGGTTGGTGCAAAGAATAATAACTAAATCATTTGTTGTTATTCCAAGCGAGATTTGAGTTGTATTTTTCGTCTTGTTTTAGCAAGGTGATCTGTATGCAAGATGTCTTGTATGCAGGACATCCCTTTATGTGTACCTAAAATATAATTCACCTCCACCACAACCCTATCTTGTATATTTGTGGTTAAATCTAAATTAATTCCACAAGGTGGGATGCTGAGCCTTCTCCTTTTATAAGAGCATAAGTTAATATTCAAATAGAAAAAGCTGTTAAGTTGCTTTGGATATATGATAAGAAGATTTCCTAGGGTGAAGGAAACAATGCAAAGAACAACTCATTTTATCAGAAACACTCCTCTGAAAGTAGCAGAAGATTTAGGTTTTGCTGTCATGTTAATGGGCTTCTGGAAGTCTGCTGAGAGACAGCACTAAGTTCCTAGAAATAAAAATGGTTTTTTAGTTGTTTGCTTTAAACTCCTGAAAGCTCTTCCGTGAGTGTCCGGTATTAGTATTCTACTTAGCCTTGAGTTCTCATAGTTGTTTTTCGGAATATATTTCTGAACTTTGGAGCTTTTTTCTTTTTTTCTTTTTTTTTTTTTTTTTAAATGTGGTGAGTGATCATTTAAATCTACCCCCTGATGATTTATCCCTGTATTCTTCCATTTTGCAGAACACTGGGCATTGAATTTTGGA